AGCAGAAGTTTGCAAAACTAGAAGAACTAATTCAATTAAAGTTTCTCTTTTGCCTCAATTTTCATTTAATTGCAATTCCACATATCTCTTTTCTGCTGCATGCGCCAATTGCCTGCAGCAGCAGAGACGCGGGGCCTCCGGGGGGCCCCCGGGTCTTGGGGGGGCCCCTCAGGGGCCCCTTGGGGCCCCCCAGGGGCCCCTTATGCATTGGGTACTGGCTTTTTAATAGTAAAATTTAATTTTATTTCTTTATTTTGTTTTTTATTTATATTTTAAAAGTTAAACGAGCTTGTTTGAGATTAAAGCGCGGAAATTTACGCTGAACCAGCTGCTGCCGCAGCTCCAGCAGCAGCTGCAGCAGCAGCTGCAGCAGCAGCTGCAGCAGCAGCAGCAGCAGGGGGGCATGGGTGTATGCGCAGCTTCTAAGGAAAACTTTGACGTTAATTGTATTTATTTGAATTTATTTGAATTTATTTTTATTTTTATTTTTATTTTTATTTTTACTGTTTATAATTAGAAGAACGGTTGCATGCAGAGCAGCAGCAGTGTCTAAAACCAGCAGCAGCAGCAAAGAAGGTAACTAAAGAAATAAAAATTAAAAATAGGAAAGTACTTTAATTAAAATTGCAAAAAGAGAATGTTTTCGAATGCAGACTTCATGTGCTCGCCTTCAATACATTTCTGCTGCAGCAGCTGCTGCTGCTGAGGCTGCTGCAGCAGCTGCTGCTGCTGAGGCTGCTGCAGTAGCTGCTGCTGCTGAGGCTGCTGCAGCAGCTACTGCTGCTGAGGCTGCTGCAGCAGTTGCTGCTGCTGAGGCTGCTGCAGCAGCTGCTGCTGCTGAGGCTGCTACAGCAGCTGCTGCAGTTGCAGCTGCTACAGCAGCGCCTGCAGGTACTTCTGCTGCTGCAGCAGCACCTGCGGCGCCACCCAGCAGCTGCAGCAGCAGCAGCTGCAGCTGCAGCAGCTGCTGCAGCAGCAGCAGCTGCTGCTGCTGCTTCGGACTTCTACCGGCATATCTTTGCTTATTTATTTTTTAATATTCACCTTTTTATCTAAAACTTTTTAAATGTTAAAAGGATGTATTTAATTATTAAAAGAATTTACTTAATTGATTAAAAGGATTTATTTAATTTATTAAAAAGATATTTTGCTTAATTATTAAAAGGATTTGTTTAATCTAATAAAATAGTTTAATTTAATGAAATAATTTATTTAATTTAATAAAGCAATTTATTTAATTTGATAAAATAATTTATTTAATTTAATACAAAGATATTTTCAAATGAAGAGCAGCAAATTGAAAGATTGATAAATGCCCACAGAGGGTTTTCTCTCCTTTTATTTTTTTCAATTTATTTTACTTATTTTATTTGCATTATTTCTTTATTATTTTATTTTAATTATTTATTTTATTTACTCTATTATTTTATTATTTTATCATTTATTTTATTAATTTTGTTTTATTTTTTAATTTAATTGTATTCATTTATTTTAATGTATTTTATTTTGTTCTGCTCTTATTTTCCGGCAGGATGACATGAAATGGAATAAGGGAAAAAGTGCAACTGCTGCTTAAAGAGCTGCTGCTGCTGCTGCTGCTGTTGAAGCGAGCGTCAGCTGCAGCAATTAAAACGAAACTTAGAAATAATAAACATGAATTTAATTTTTTATGTTTTGTTTTTAATTTATTTTTTAAATGAAAAAGCGAAGCAGCAAAGAGTGATCAGTTCGCCCCACAGAGAATTTGCTGCAAACTGCTGCTTTGTGGGCTGCTGCAGCAGCAGCAGCTGCTGCTGGCAGCAGCAGCACCACATAGAAGCAGCAGCAGCAGCATTGGCACCAGTGGCAGCGGCAGCTGCGGCAGCACAAGCACTAGCGGCAGCAGGATCAACAGTAGCAGCAGCAGCAGCAGCAGCAGTAGCAGCAACAACAGCAGCAGCAGCAGCAGCTGCTGCTGCTGCATCTGCTGCAGCACTAGCAATAAGAGCAGAAGCAGCAGCAGCAGCAGCACCAGCAGCAGCAGTAGCAGCAACAACAGCAGCAGCAGCAGCAGCTGCTGCTGCTGCATCTGCTGCAGCACTAGCAATAAGAGCAGAAGCAGCAGCAGCAGCAGCAGAGAAACTGCGGCTGCTGCCTCCAGCAATGCGCCCCTCATTGAAGCAGCGGGACTGCAGCAGCATTTTAATTTTATTAAAATTAATTAAAATTAATTTTAATAACATCAATTTTAATCCATTTTTTAATTAATTAAAATTAATTAAAATTGATTAAAATTGTTTAAAATTAATTAAAATTAATTAAAATTGATTAGAATTAATTAAAGTTAATTAATTTAAAAATATTCACAGAGGCTCAGCAGCAGCAAACAAGTGCATGCTGCAGCGGCAAACAGCTGCTTGATTTCATTATAATTAAAATATAAGTTCTCTTTTAATTGTGAAGAGACTGTGCTGCTGCTAAGTAGTTGCTGCTGCTATCTCCTGCTGCTACTTGCTGCTGCCAGCTGCTGCTGCTGCTGGCTGCTGCTACTAGTTGCTGCTGCTGCTGGCTGCCGCTGCTAGTTGCTGCTGCTGCTGGCTGCTGCTGCTATTTGCTGCTGCCGCTTTCCCTCTCGGACTATTCGGGGGAATTTCATGAAATTGAGATTCGTTTAGCTGCAGCAGCAAACTGAACTGGAGGCAATCAGGGCCCTTTCTGCTGCAAATAAACAATTCAAGTTGCTGCTGCTGCATGCAGCGCAGCAGCACAAATAAACAATTCAAGTTGCTGCTGCTGCATGCAGCGCAGCAGCAAGAGGCAGCAGCAAATAAACTTCGCCGAGCCCTCAGCAGCAGGTACGCAAGGAGCCACAGCCGCCGCAGCGCCCACTGCTGCTGCTGCTGTGCTGCTGCTGCTGCTGCTGCTGCTTCGTTATTGGTTCTTCTGAAGCAATATTTATCACTATTTACTATAACGTTATCATTTTTTATTTAGAAGGATTTTAATTCTCTTTATTTGCTGCTGCTGCGGCCAGAGGCCCGCTCGCCGCCGCCGGCGCTGTGTGCAAGAGCCACCGGTCTGTGTGCGGCTGCGCAAGCTTGCGGGGGCCCCGGGGCCCCCAGCAGTTCTTTGAAAAGGATAAAATAGTTTTAAATATGTATTTTTAAATTATAAGAAGTAAAAGTAGAGAAAAAGGAGTTTCAAGGGTTCCCCGGCAGCAGGCGCTGCAGCGGCGGCGGTGGACTGGTGCAGCCCCGGCGACTGAGAGGACTCGGCTGCAGCATTTCATTCAAGTTTTTGCATGCATTGTTCTTTTAAGGTTTGTTGTGACGGCATTAAGTCGCAATTTATTCATATTCCCGCGGAAAGTTGCGGTGTACGTACAGCTCCGAGTAGCGCCAGCCCCGCCTTCCGCGCCTTCGGACCGCCGGAGAGCCGCACTTGAATTATTCCACTGCATCGCTCGCTGCGTCCCTGGCTTCTTTTTTCCGAGCTTTTCGGTTTCCTCTTGCAAAATTATTCGTAAATTGTCTTTAAAGCAGCGTGATACCGCGGAATTAGGGGACGGATCGCCCGGTCGTCTGCACCCGCAGCAGCAGCAGCAGCGGCAGCAGCAGCAGCAGCGCAGCGGCCAGCCGCCGCTGATCCGCGGGGAATTCGGGGAAATTCGGCGCGCCAACTCGAGAAATTCCACGAAATTCACTTTGCAGGTCCAGTAAAGGGTTTATTTTCGAGAAGATTTTCCAGCGGTGGTCAGCGGCTGCTGGCTGCTGTCCCGGCTAAGGTAGCACAGCAGGTTTTGAACAGATTTGAAAGCAGCAGAAAGCCAGCAGCAGCTGCTGCTGCTCCCTCGCCACTCAGGTCTTTCTCGTGCTGCAGCAGAGGCCCAAATGGCGTTTGCTGCTTCGCTGCTCGGCAGCTTCTTTGCTGCCCCCAAAGATGAACAAGGGGAGGGCCCCGAAGCAGCAGCAGCGCCAGCTGCTGCTGCTGCCGGAGGCGCAGCAGCAGTGCCGGCTGCTGATGCTGCTGGGGACGCAGCAGCAGCAGGGCAAGCGGCGGAGACGGCGGGGGAGCTGTCCGCTGCAGCAGCAGCAGCAGCAGCAGCAGCAGCAGCAGCAGCGGTGACGGAGGACGAGATGCTGCCGATAGGCGAAGCCGTGCCCGAGGGCGAGCACGTGCGCACGCTGCGCATTTACGGCAGACCCCCCGCAGCAGCAGCAGCAGCAGCAGCCCCCGCTGCAGCAGCAGCAGCAGCAGCAAACTGCCGCGAAGTGCACGTGCTGCGGGTCTTTCGAGAGCCAGATATTATGATTGCTCCAGACTTAATTACTGCAGACCAATGTGACCATTTGCTGCAGCTCGCAGAAGGCAAATGGACCCGCAGCAAAACCAGCATCGGCACCACTTCCGCTCCCCAGGTCTAACCTGCTGCTGCTGCTGCTGCTGCTGCTGCTGCTGCTGCTGCTGCTGCTGCTGCTCTTGCCGGTCTTGCTGCTGCGCTTTCTGACCTTCCTGCTGCTCTTGCTGATCTTACTGCTGTTTTTGCTGCTGCTGCTGCTGTCTCTGCCGCTGCATGTTGCTGCTGGTGCTCCTCTCGCGTCGTCCCTAGCGGCGCCGCGCTGCTGCTGCTGCTGCTGCTGCTGCTGCAGGCCGAGAATCCGTTTTGCGTCCCTGGCATGAATTTTTTTGCTTTTTTCGAATTTGAACAAATAAAACAAAAACAAAAAGAACAAAGGGAGTTTTAAATGATTATTTGTTTGTTTTGCTGCTCAGAGCGCGTACAAAACCGCAGAAAGCCTCACGCGGACTTCGGAGTCGGTGCTGCTGCAGGAGGCGCAGACAGCAGGAGTTGCTGCTGTCGAGCTGCTGGCCTGCGCGCTCGCGCAGCTGCCGCTGCAGCACTTGGAAGCTTTGGTCTTAGTCAAATATCAGAAAAACCAGTTTTTCAAAGAACACCACGACGGCTCCTTCCGGCCCAAAACTGTCCTCCTTTACCTCAACGGTCCGCCTGCTGCTGCTGCTGCTGCTGCTGCTGCTGCTGCTGCCGTTGCTGCGGCTGCTGCGCTGCTCCTGGGGCCGCTGCCGTTGCTGCGCTGCTGCAGCTGCTGCTGCGCCGCTGCTGTGCCGCTGCTGCGCCGCTGCTGCTGCTGCTGTGCTGCCGTTTCTGCCGCCGCTGCAGCTGCTGCTGCTGCTGCTGCTGCGCTGCAGACGTGGAAGAGGGGGGCGAGACGCACTTCACGCGGCTGGGTTTGAAAATCGGACCCTCGCGGGGCTGTGGGGCCCTCTGGGCCAACAGGGGCCCCCAGGGCCTCATGGACTTGAGGACTTTGCATGCAGGAGTTGCTCCTCTCCGCGGCAGCAAATTCGTTGTCAATTGCTTCTTCAACGAGGCCGTGGTGAGGCCGGCGCACCCCGAGAGGCCCCTGCAGCAGCAGCAGCAGCAGCAGCAGCAGCAGCAGCAGCAGCAGCAGCAGCGGCAGCAGCGGGGGGCGCAGGGAAGCGCAGGGGCGGGCCTGCAGGGCGCGGACGACGCGGGAAGAGGCGAAGGCAGCGAGACTAGCAACAGGCTGCTGCAGGACGTACAGCAGCAGCAGCAGCAGCAGCAGCAGCCGCAGCAGCAGCAGCAGCTGCAGCAGCAGCAGCTGCAGCCTGCGGTCAACTTCGGGGGGCTCTTCAACAGCATGCCGCCTGTGAACAAACATGTCAGTTTCTCTCCCGTGATGTCGCCGATGCAGCAGCAGCTGCTGCACCAGCAGCAGCTGCAGCAGCAGCAGCAGCGGCTGTTGCTGCTGCTGCAGCAGCAGCAGCAACACGCTCCCTTCTACTCCACCTCCCCTGCTGCAGCAGGAGGGAACCCCAAGCTGCCGCTGGCGCCCTTGGGGCTCCCTTTTGCTCCCCAGGGCTGTTCTGCCTGGGGGCCGCATGCAGCAGCTCGTGCTGCTGCTGCTGCTGCAGCAGCAGCAGCAACAGGTCTTCCGGCTGGCCGCAGGTGGGCCTGCAACGCCCCTTCTACAGGAGCCTGAGGGTCACAGATCTGCAGCAACTGCAGCAAGCAGCTTCAGAAAATTGTTGTCTTCATTACTGCTGTTGCTGTTGCTGCTGCTGCTGCCACGGGTGCAGCGGGAACTCCGGGAGGGGCACAGGTAACGTGGGGCCTGATTGCTGCAGCTGGCCGTGCTGCTGCTGCTGCTGCTTCAGTTTGCTCTCAGTAGCATTAGCTGCTGCTGCAGCAGCTGCAGCAGCAGCAGCTGGCGCTGCTGCTGCTGCTTCGGTCTGCCCACAGCAGCATTAGCTGCTGCTGCTGCTGCTGCAGCGTGTGTCCATTTGCTTCTATTTTTGATGCTTTTTGTCTCTGTTGTTTCGTCTCCTTTTTAATCATTTGCAAAAAGCTGCGCCTCCGCGCCAACAAACTCCACTGTCTCTCTTTGTTCACCAATAGCTGCAAACCCTAAACCCTAAACCCTAAACCCTAGCTTAGCTGTGCACTGTGTCTCACACCTATGCAGTACTAAGCCTAAACAATATAAACTGCATGCAAGCTAGCGAAGTCTAGGCCCGCAGTCTCTGCAGCAGCAGCAGCTGCTGCTGCTGCAGCTGCTGCTGCTGCTACAGTTGCTGCAGCAGCAGCTGCTGCTGCTGCTGCTGCTGCCCTTAAGCTGCCCCAAGGACGTCTGCTGCTTCTCTTTTGCCTCTTTGCCTCGGAAGGCGCCACGGACTGCGACAGCAGGCCAGCAGAGCTAGGGTTTAGGGTTTAGGAATTAGGGTTTAGGGTTTAGGGTTTAGGGTTTGTGGGCCAAGAGGCTCTTCGCGAGCTCCAGAGCCTCCGGCGAAAAGCTGCTGAAGAGCTGCGCGGCTTCGGGCTGGGCCTGAGGCGGAAAATAAAAAATAAAATAAAATTTAAATAAATAAATAAATAAATAGTTAGATAATTAATTAATTTAAATGAATAAATAACTAAATTAATTTATTTATTAATTATAATAAATTGGGGTTAAGAGAAATAAATGAAGAAGTTGGAAAACCTCGGGGGAGGCAAATGGAGAGAAACACACAGAAAAAAAAAAATAAAAAGAGATTAAAAGAAATTAAAAGAAATTAAAAGAAATTAAAAGAAATAAATGAAACAGAAATTAAAATGAAAAATGAAATAAAGAGACAAAAGTGGATGGGAAAGAGATGAGACAAAAGTGAAATAAAGAAGAAGAAACAACAAAAACAAAAACAAGAAAAAAAGGAAAGACAAGAAAAAGAGACAAAAGGAGAAACAAAAACGGAAATTAAAAAAGAAATTAAGAAAGAAATAAAAGAAGAAACAGGCAAAGAAATAAGAGAAGTTAAAAAGGAAATAAAAAAGAAATTGGAAAATGAAAGATAAAAATAAAAAAAATAATAAAAAAAAGACCTGCAGGTGTTGGAGAAGATTGGCAAGAGATTCTTTTTCGAATTTCTGGGGGGCCCCCAAAGAGGCCAAACTGCAGCAAAAAAAGATATTTGAACACAAAAAGAAGATAAAAAGATAACGAAAAGGTCTATTTTTGGACAATTTAAAACAATTTAAAACAATTAAAGACAATTTAAAACAATTGATGGAAAAAAGGAGGCAATTAAAGAGAAAAAGGAGAAAAAAAGAAGCAAAAAGAGAGAAAAAAGAGGTAAAAAGAGATGTTAAAACACAAAAAGATGATTAAAAGATAATACAAAGATCTATTTTCTGGATAACTTAAGACAATTTAAAACAATTTTAAACAATTTAAAGCAATTAAAGATAATTAGAGGTAATTTAAAACAATGAATGAACAAAGAGACAAATGAAGAGAAAAAGAAGGAAAAAAGAAACAAAAAGAGACAAAAAGAGAAATAAGAAGAGATATTAAAACACAAAAAGATGATAAAAGGATTTTAGGAAAAGATATTTCAAGAGAACTTAAAGCAATTAAAGATAATTAAAGACAATTAAAGATAATTAAAGACAATTAGAGATAATTAAAGACAATTAAAGACAATTAAAGATAATTAAAGACAATTGAGGACATTTAAAGGAAAAAAGAAGCAATTAAAGAGAAAAAGGAGAAAAAAGAAATAAAAAGAAACAAAAGAGAGCCGAAAAATGTATGAAAGGGCATTTGGATACTAGAAAGGAATATTTAAAGAAAAATTAACTATAAAGACAAACATAATTTAAAGCTAATTTAAAGATAAATATAATTTAAATATAATTTAAATAAAATTTAAATATAATTTAAAGATAAATTAAAGATAATTTGAACATAATTAAAGGATAAATTAAAGATAATTTAAAGATAATTTAAAGATAAATTAAAAATAATTTAAAATAAATTAGTATAATTAAAGACAATTACAGACAATTAAAGACAAGAAAGGAAAAAAGAGATAAAGAAGAGACAAAAAAGGAAAAAGAAGACATTTAAAGGCAAAAACACTGCTGCTGCTGCTGCTGCTGCTGGTTGTGCTGCTGCTGGTTGTGCTGCTGCTGCTGCTGCTGCTGCTGCTGGTTGTGCTGCTGCTGCTGCTGCTGCTGCTGCTGCTGCTGCTGACCGGTGCATGGCGTGGGCAATGGGGTGTACAGACACCTGGATCCCCCGGAAGTCTTTGTAAAATAAAATTAAAAAATAAATAATTAAATTCGGAGAAGTCTGGTGAAGCTTTCTTACGGCTTCCCGAGCCACCAGGTGCAGCAGCGGGCTGCAGCAGCAAACAATTAATTAATTAATTAATTAATTAATTAATAGTTAATTCATTAATTAATAATCAATTAATTAATTAATTGATTAATAATTAATTAATTAGTTGGTTAGTTAATTGATTAATTAATTGTTTAATTGTTTAATTGAATAATTAATTAATTAATTAATTAACGAGCTAACTAATAGGTTAACTGGTTTCTTAAATAACTAATTAACTAATTAAAGGTAACGAATTAAACAATTAACTAACTAACCAATTAGTTAATTAATTAATTAATTAATTAATT